TGGCAGGGGGGGGAGTGGGGAATGACTGCTAGGGGGTTCAGGGTTTCTTTTTGATGGAAATGTTCTGGAGTTAGTGGTGATGGTTGCATAATTTTGTAGAATACATGGAAACCACTGAATTCACCGTGAAAAGTGTGAATTTTATGGTATGAGAATGATATCTCATTAAATTTTTATAAAAATTCTTGAGGACTCCAAGTGATGTGGGCTATATCTATTGATATTTTTAATATTAGATATTAAACAGAGAAAACACTTAAAATTCATTAAAAACAAAAAACCCATTAGATGTTCATTTAAAAAAAACTATTCTCAAAACAAAAACCCTGAATGAGACTAATAGCATTGTTTTACATTTTTACAAACCTATGTAATGGGTGGCTTAACAAAAGCCAGCTGGGTGCTCACATCTGATTTTTCATCCAATCTTTTGCGATATGTGGTTTTATTCAAGTGCATGAAAGAAAGCCAGACTCTCACAGATACGTACCAAGGTTGGAAAGGGGGGCGTATTTCCAGGTAATTGTGGCGAATCTTTCACACGGCACCAAAACTCAACAGTTGGTTATTTCTTAAAGATTAATTCTAATGTGGCATCTGAAACCATATCAATAAACTCTTCACATTTGCGAGACAATGAGACCAAATGTCTTATTATGAAAGTAATTTTGATCTTGTAGACCCCCTAATCTGTTGGGGACCCCCAGCCCATGGTTTGAAAAAGGCTGTTCCAGACCAATGTCACCCATTTCTGTGATGACCAGCAGGGGGCAGCGTGCAGACTACAGCTAACTGGCCCACACAGGGACCAAGTCCACGACCTTGACCGCAGGAGTCTCTCTATCCCACTCAGTAAGCACATTCAGGCACCTGCTTCCCACTGTGGACTGCCTCAGGGGAGAGACCCATGGAGACCCCATGGCCAGGCCACACTGGGATGCCACCATCATCAATGGCCCCCTCAGATTTAAAGTCTGGATCTTCTCTCAAATGAGACTAATGTACAATCCAGAAAAACACAGGTGGGGTAAAAAAAATGAGACTCACAAACAACTTTACCAGGTGTACCGGTTAATAATGCGGATTTTGTAATCAAAGAAAACACGATAATTTCAAGAGAAACATCAAAAGTGCTTTATTCAAAGTAATGTCCATTGCTAGCTACCACATTTCCCCCATCTTTCAGGTAATTTGTGGATAATGTCCCAATAGAACTTTTCTTGTTTTGAGGCAAACCATTCAGAGACCCAATTTTCCACTTCTTCGTACGTTTTGAAGTGCTGCTCAGAAAGTGCCTGTGCCATCGATCGGAACAAGTGGTCATCTGAAGGAGCAAGTCTGGTGAATATGGCGGGTGGGTTAATATTTCCCAGGCAAGATCTTTTAACGTGTCTTTAACTGGTTTTGAAGTGTGTGATGGTGCG